GTTCCACGGACATAAGGAAAGTAAAGGTGATGGACATCTGGGATAATCCAGCTTTTGTTCAGCTGCTAAACAAACAGCCGTGGATTCATTCACTAAGCTGCAGTTCAAAGCAATTGCAGATAATTGTTCCTTCTACAACCTGAAATCTAAGTTTATTTCATGGTGAACAGTGAAAGTGTGGTCTATGTGCATGCTAGGTGATAATAAAGACAAATGACAAGATTCATAACTGTGTGGCGCTTTTGATGCAGTCCAACAAATGTTTGGGAAAAAGATGTGGCATTTTGGGGAGGGAGTTTTTTTCCTGTTCTACTTAAACCTTTCAAATCTTTTGGCTACTTCTAAAGCAATCTCTTTTTGGGATTGAGCATCCATCTGGAGTGACGTCATGGTGTGAGAGTTCAGCATACAGATGATCTAAACTAAAACCGCAGCTCAGTCTCTTCTATCTCTGCCTGTTTCTTCATCTAAAAATATGAAGAATGCTAGGAGACTTCTCACGTAGTTGCTTCCACAGTCAACAGATTAAAATATTTGAAACCTTTAGGTCAGTGCTTTGCACATAGTATTTAATAATTATTGTAAAATTAGCTGAGGAAAGAAAACTGTCACTGAATTTCTACTTCAATAATCTGTGAAATTCTTATAAAGCAAAATCTAGAGCATACCTAATGAATTTAACAAAGACATTAAAAAAATTGGAGCTAGAGAGATGGCTCTGCAGTCAAGAGTGCTTGCTAATCTTTCAGAGGACTCAGGTTCAGTTCCCAGCACCTGCATCAGGTAGCTCACAATTCTTGTTCCAGGGGATCCAGCATTATCTTCTGGCCTTCATGGGCACTGCACGCTTGTGGTTCATGTACATACATGAAGGCACTCACACATGCATATAAAATAGAAATAATTATTTTTATTAATTTTTTAAAATTATTTTAATTTGACCTGCACGAGTATTTTGCCTGCATGTAAATGCACCTGTGTCATGTAATACCCATGGAGGCCAGAAGAGGTGGAACTGGAATTACCAGTGATTATAAGCTACCATCTGGGTCTTGGGAACTGTACCTGGGTACCCTGAAAGAGCAGCCAGTGCTCTTAAGCAGAGTCATCTCTCCAACTCCCAGTCCCCCCAATTTATTCAAATATACTAAAAAGTTAATGATTTTTTTTAGGCAGGAGGTTTGAGACAGGGTCTCACCATGTAATTTCAGCTGGACTAGAGGTTGCTATGTAGACCATCCCAGGCTGGCCTTGATCTCACAGTGATCTGTCTCTCTGCCTTACAAGTGCTAGGATTAAAGACTTGCTCCACCACACCTGTCCCACCAATTCCTTTTGAGACAAGGTCTGGCTAAGTAGCCCAGGTTCACCTTAAACTTGCAGCTGTCCTTCAGTTTCAGCATTTTGAGTGCTTGGATTATAGGCATCAGCCCCTACTTCTAGATTTAACAATTTCTTAAACTGAGAAAAAAGCGTGCTTAATTTTCACTACTAAAATGAAATATGTGCATCCTCTTTTCTTTTGGTATAAAAAGTTGGCTCACATTCCATTAACTATTCGGAACATAATATGTTGGAGTAATTTAGAATATGGGCTTTTCTATAAGGGAATCCAAAGAAACAGGAGGTAATCTGGGAAATATAGGAATTCTTGTCAAACCAGGAGGGACAAAGCCATAAGTGTATAAATGCCCAAAATGTGTTTTGAAAATGAGCTTCAAACAATCATTAGGACCCACAACCAAATCTCAAGCACAGGTCTGTAATTGATCTGTTTCTTCATGGTAATGCCATGAATCCATGCCCTGTGATGTAGAACAAGGTTATCTATTTTTAAAAATTGGTAATGATTCTCATACCAAAACTGATCCATCTGATTTCATATGCTATTATAGTAGAAACCAAAGCTTGGTTAATTACCCACTATATGTAAAACAAAAACAAAAAAACAGGACCTGACCACAATTTATGCTCATTGGAGGTCTGAGAATCATTTGACATCTTTAGATTTGACTCCAGACAAATATTTGAAACTTAAAGAAAAAGAAATCTGTCATTGCTTAATAACTAATGTCCTAATATATCTTTCTTTCCTACCATGTGAGAAAAAAATTTAAAGGAAAACAATTGCAACAATGTCAAACAATATAACAATGTCTTTATGTAAACCACAGTTCTGTTATTATTGTAATTTAAAATCATGGAATTTGTTGTTGAAAGGATTTCAATGTCATTTTATAAACTTGTAGCTTGAATGTTTCTGACTAAATTCATCTTGGAATTTAATCTCCACTGTGAGAAATTAAAAGGTAAGACCAGATGCCTCATTGATGTGATAGTTGGGATTAATCCATAGATCAATGGATTTAACTGTTTGAGAGTGAATCTGTTAATCGATCCTAGTTGGGGCTGGAGAGATGGCTCAGCGGTTAAGAGCACTGGGTGCTCTTGCAGAGGACCCAGGTTCGATCCCAGCACCCACATGGCAGCTAACGACTGTCTGTAACTCCAGTTCTAGGGGATCCAACACTCTCTTCTGACCTCTGTGAGCATTGCATGACACAGGTACACTTACATACATGCAGGCAATACACTCATACACATAAAAATATAATTAAATATAAAAAATAAAAAGTAGACACTAGTTGGCTCCCTGTGTAGGATGCATGTTTCATCGTATGATTCTTTAGGCCCCTTTAGGACTGCTGAGTTTTCTACAGGAAGAAGGCTCTCATTAGATGTAGTCTCTCCACTTCTGAATTTCCCAGCTAGAATTTTTCTTTTGAAAAATAGAGCCATGTATTCTGTAATAGTAGCAGAAAATGGACTCAGACATAAACCATTATAATTTTCCTGATGAATGATGACAATCCCTCACAATTCAGTGCACTATGACAATGTGGACTACAACTTAGGGCAAATTGGGAGAGTTTAATCTTCTCTAATGTTCAGTTCAATTCAACAAATTTTTGCCAGGCTAGGTGTCAGGTGTGCTGAGTACTAGCGATAAAGAAACAAAAGGTTCTGTCTACAGCAGTACTATCCTGAACATGCCTGATCTCAGAAGATAAGTTGGGTTGGGCCTGGTTAGTACTTGGATGGGAGACCACCTGGGAATACCGGGTGCTGCAGGCTAAAAAAGTTCTGTAAGACATAAATTGGATATGAATAAGGATGAAAATTTTATGAAAAAGTTGGTGTGTGCTAAGTTTTCCATAAGAGAGTAGGTTTTAAGGAAAAAAGAGCACACCTATATTTCAAAGACTCATTTGACTATCACTGTTGAATAGTTAGAATAAATGTTTATTACCTCTCAGTGATATGTCTAACATGAAATTAATGTTAAAAATCAAATCAGTCAACAGAATATCAGCTTGGTAACTTGGATCTCATGCAGGACATTACGGATTACTTCCAATCACTTCCTATTGGTCCATATTCACTCAGACAAATATAGCTGAGAAGGAAAACTGAGGGTATCTGTGCAATCAGTAAGAAAACTCGGATTACCTAGGAGAAGCTTAGAGTTTATGATGTGAAAGAAAAAGTTTCTTACTAATCATTCACTGTAGACCCTATTCTTGTTACTGAAATAAATACACAGATTCAAGTGGTGATAGACTCTGTAAGAAGACAGAGAAAAAGTCTTGTGGTAATGGGGATAGGTACTTCTTTCTTTCTCATCACATTCACTCAGAAAATATTACAAACAATACTCCAAGTTACAGAATAGAAATTTCTGGCCAGGTGTGTATGGTGGGCAATGCAGAGGCAGGTTAGAAGCCAGCCTGGTCTACATAAGGAGACCCTGTCTCAAAAAAAACAAACCCCCAAAACATGTGCCTTTATTTTCCAAAAACAGCAAAGTTAATTTTGTCTTATTTAGGTAAACAGTGTTAATTTTGTTGTATTTAGGTAAACCTGTGTGCACAGCCATAAGTAATAGTATTTGATTAAACTGATCATTGCATTTCAAAGAATATATTTCATAACTGCTTCCTATTTTATGGAAGAGGGCTCATCTAGAAATAACCAGCAAGGATTCATCCAATTCATACACAATACTCTATCATTTGTTTACCAATTTTTTCAATGTGCGCACACACACGCACACGCTAGGCACTTAGCTAGACAAACAGCTGTTGGAGGAAAGGTGCTCACTTGTTGCAGTTAAACAAAAACGTGGAATGCCAAAAAAGGTATAGGACATACTAAAGATTGTTAATCAAATTGAACTTGGCATCCTGTCTTATCTGGCCAACCTACATTGGAGGGATGCCTTCATGTTGAAAGAGGAAATTGAGCCTTCTGATTCTGCACGTTATCCTAAGGTTAGGGAGATTGCCCCATGGAACTGGCAGCGTCTCAGTTTGAATGGAGTTTGGAGTGGACTACACGAGGGACGGTTCTCGTATTATTTAGGTGAAAATCAAGAGAGGATAAAGACTACAAAGGGAAAGAGGGGACGAAGAAAAGAAAAGCAGGGGGAATATTGAAGTGTGGTCCACAAGTCAGACATTTCATGACAGGTCAAGTAAAAGAAGTGACTCTTAGATTGTGCCATGGGGGGGCAAAAGCATGGTAGAGGAGCAGCTGAAAGGAGGTCGCAGATGGTGATGGAGAGGGTGCTGGTGGCCCGGAAATCTGACACCAGGTTCTCCCAGCCTTTTCGTCCTCGACAGGTCGAGGGTCAAGGACAAGTGTAGACTTTGGAGATGGAGCGGCCAGTGCCCCAATCAGGCGGAGAGCAGGGCAAGCCGATTCGCTAGGGACCAATCCTTTGCTGGAGCCCGCTTGACTGACAAAGCCACGTGCCAAAGAGTGCGCGCAGACGGGAGGCGAATCACGGCAGGGCGGCGTCCAGGGCACTAACCCGGAACCGGTTTGGGATTCGATTCCCATTGTGAGGCCTGGCCTGGGGCGGGCTCTCATGGCGAATGGCAATCCCCTCCGGACCAATGGATGAGCCGCATGTCATGAGCGGCAGCGACTCCAGCCAATGGGGATAGGGAGAAGTTGGTGGGCGGGGACTCCATGAAGCATCTCTTTTTTCCAGCACCCTCAGGGGCGATTCTGCGGTGGTGCCGCCGGGGTCGCAGGTGAGTGGAGGGGTGCTGGGGAAGCAGCCGGGCCGGGAGGTTCGGGGACCACGAGAGACCTCGAGGGGTGGGTCCCCGGGGGGCGTCGCCGCTGCGGGCTTTGGCCTTGGCATTGCGGAGCAGCGGGATCCGAGGCTGGGAGAAGTCCCACGCGCGGCCGTCGCCCGGCCGGGGATGGGGCGAAGGGCCCACGGCTGCTGGAGCGCTGATACCCCGGCGGGTTGTCACCGTCCGGAGGAGAGTGCCCCCCACCCCCTCAAAGTTGCCCGGACTCCAGCCTGGTGCGAGCCGCAACCTTGTGGCTGTGTCAGGTGCGCGCCCCTGCTCCGGAGTGGCCTCCAGGATCCTGGGAACCCTATCTTCCTGAGGCTCTACTTCCCACAGTGTTGCTTCCCAGCAGGACCCTTAAGTAAACTTAGTTGTTTACTGGCCACAAGTTTTACAGGAAAGGAAGTAGCTGTCCTGTAAGAATATTGGGGAAAAGAAAGTCACAGTTTAAATGAGATTGGGGTGGGATGGGGATGGAGGGAAGTTTGCATTTCTGGGATGTGTTCTCTTAAATGCTTAATGAATTTAAACATATATATGACCTCGTAGTTCAGTAGCACACCCTATTAATTTCATCCTAATTGCTAGTTCTAAGGGGAAAATGCCCAGTTATAATTTATAGTGTATCACTTGTGGTATGCTATCGGTCACAAGGATTAAGTAAGTAGTATACTATGTAGCCTTCCTGTTTCCAACCAATGACAGTGAAACGAGATTTCAGAAAAATGACTCTTCTCTGTGACTGGCCATGGGAGGTCTTGTAAGTTTTAGTGGTTGTGACTATTGAATTCCATGGTGTAAAGACAGAAAGACAGCCAATGTAAAGGGGAGAGCATTCAGTATCAGAAATGGCATCTATGCATTTTATGACCTGTTTTATCCCTAACACCAAGATTGGTGCCTCAGATGCAGTAGAAGCTTAGTAAAATACACGCCTTGAGGCAGTTACTCTGAGTGCATCTCAGAAAACCCAAACTTCTCTTACATGAGTACCAAACTATAAAGGACAGGTTTAGAAGGCATTTCTGGAGAAATAGTTTTGTCTGTTTAAACACAGCTACCAACTCAGGATGCTCACATGGAAAGGCAGATATTTTCCCAGAACTGTCAAAACTCAGCAGAAATCAGAGATGGATTTCAAAATCAACTTCGCTGAGGTTAAAAATATTGTGAAGTACTTTATCAATGAAATAGCTAATCAGCCCAGCATAACTCAGTTGCAGACAAAGGCACACCACCTCGTCAGTTGAAAGTATGGAGTTAGGAATTGTTGGGGGAAAAAATAGGCCAGGCAGTTGGCAGCAACTGCTGACACATTGAAAAAAATATATCGACTCTGGCAGGTTAATAGGGACTGCTGTTTATGCCACTTACCAATAAACTTGCAACAGTCTAGTTAAATTAATCTTAGATTCTGAGACCAGTGAAATCTGGTGGTGGATATGTGTGGAAGATTCTCTTGATAACAGCAGTTGTTATTTTATTAAGGACTTTTATCCCATATATATTATCCTAGCCCTCCGTACCTACACATAGGAGGTAACCTACTGGAGTTGAGAAAATATGTGAATCTCCACAGTTATATTTTTCTCTTTCAGTACAATTTTTCAGTATCTTCTAAAAAGGGTATTTTTATTTTATGAGTGTTTTGACTCAGTGTATCTGTGTGCACCCATGTCATACAGTGCCCTCAGAAGTCAGAAGAGGGTGTTGGATCCCCTGGAATTGGAATCATAGACCATTCTTAGCCGTGGTGTGGGGGCCAAGAACAGCCAGTGCTCTTAACTACTCAGCTATCTCTCCAGCTCTAGTTTGTTGATATCTTGTACTCTTGGTGCATTAGCATTAATTATTCAGTAAAGAAATACTTGCTTATGTCAAGACACTGTATTGAGAGGTAATGATAGTAGCAGATACTTGTGGGCTTACTATATCTTAGTTATTGTAGGGTTAATTGCATTCTCTCCTTTAATCCTTATCACGAGTTATTCTGTAATTCTTATTTATCACTCAGCAAGCAAATGTGAAATGTCAATATGTTTTTAGATCAAGGGCCCCTAAGTGTTAGGCTTGGCGCACAAGCAGATAATCCTTATTCACAACCTCAGCTTCCTGGCTCCATTCTCATTTTTTCATATGCTTTTCTTTTGCATCTGTTTTACTAAGTTATAACTTATTTGATAGCAGGAGTAAGGTATTCACCTTTGATCCTTTCTTGCTCCTAACATAAACTAATCGATTATCATACATAACTAATAGTGGCAGTATATGTATCAAGTACATCAAGCATTAGGACCTGAGTTAGGTGCTTAGCATCCACCTGAGGTATTCACCTTTGATCCTTTCTTGCTCCTAACATAAACTAATCGATTATCGTACATACTAATAGTGGCAGTATATATATCAAGTACATCAAGCATTAGGACCTGAGTTAGGTGCTTAGCATCCACCTTTCTCAGAAAATATGGTAGAGATGGAAGAAGACACCTGACATGGACCTCTGGCCTCCACATGCTCAGACACACACACACACACACACACACACACACACACACACACACCCTGAGTGAATGGAAACCGTGAAGGCATCCTGTGAACATTAAACTTCAACTGAGCGCTTACGGATGAGCAGGATTGGTAGGATAAGAGCGTAGACACCATGGGTGTTGGGAAGATGGGTAAAAGGAATTCATGGAAGATAATATTGAAACAAGGATCTTGATAGCTGGGGCTGTGCTGTTTGGTATGGTAGCCAGTAGCCACATGCTGCTACTTAGAACATGAAATATGGCTAGTCCAAATGGAGATGTAAAAAGAGTAGAACACTGAGCTCAGAGTCTGGGGATATAGCTCTATGGTAAAGCACTTGGCTAGTAGGCATCAGGAACCCTAGGTTCAATTCCCAGCACTGTAAAACACTGGGTTTAGATCATTTAAAGAATGTAACATACCTCAGTAGCTTAAATTAATTATGTATTGAAACAACATTTGGGGTATGCTGAGTTAGATAAAATAGAATTCACTTTTACTGTTCCCTTTTCTGGTGTGGCAACTAGAGGATTTAAAGCTTATGCAGCTCTCATTGCTTTTCTAGAGGAATTTCATAACGACTTGTAGTGATTTTGTGTACACCTGTGCAAACACACCTTTGTGGGAAGGGAAAAAATAATGAAATGAAGGTAGGGCGGTGTGACAGGGAGAAAGGAAAAACAGGAAGTAGTCCTAACTCTGAGTGCTCTGAGGGGTTTTGAGCACTCAGTTTATATTTGATGAATGGAACAGTGTTGTTTATTTACTCAGCCTGACAGTGGACATTCTAGGCTTAACTGCTAATTTAGTCATGATTCTAATAAAGGTAGGGGTCGTTGTCTCAATACAGTCTACTTATAAGTGTGTTTGGTTCTCAAGAGAGAGCTGTACACTTCCTCTTAAATCTAAATTCAGCTTATATTTGATGGATGTGTTTATAGCAAATAAAGAGTATGAGTTGGTTCTTAAAATTAGACATAGTCTCTTGGCATCTTAACATTCTGTTAGGTAGCTTTTTAATTTGATTTAATTTTAAATATTTTTATATAATAGTTATCTTTTTTATTTTCTTACTGAATTTTTGCTTTTTTCATACAGTATAGTTTGATGATATTTAGATCTGCTCCCCTCTCTGCACCTCTGCTACTGCCCTGCCCAGTTTAATGAATTCTCATATATATGGCCAGTGTGCAGAGAGAAGGAGGCCACCGAGTGCTTATCCTTGCTGAAGAGGAGGTGAAAAGATTGTAAGAGCCAGAGGTGGTGGATGACCATAACGAAACAGAATCTTCCAGACAGGTGGTCAGTTACTCATATGAACTCACAACAATAGTAACAGCATGCACAAGTCCCATGCAAGCTCAAATCAGACAAAAATCCCAGCATAGACATGGGGAGGTGGGTAAGAAATCTCAACCCAACCTAAGGAGTTTTTGGCAATTGATGGTTGCTGGGAGGGGGAAAGACAGTGTCTTACAGGAATGGACTCGTGGAGGACCCAGTGAATGGACTCACACTGAAAGACATTTAGGGACACAAGTCAGGCTCTATAGGGACCTTTTTAAAAATGTTGTAAGCCTTTTGTGATAGATGAGGTCTTTCTTAATGGTCCCTGAAAGGAAACTGCTCAGTGGCTCTAGGACTTTTACTTCTTGCCTTTTTATGCACCTTTTTTGTTTGTTTTTGTTTTTAAGATGGGATTTCAACTCTCTTGCCCAGGCTGACCTTGAATGCCTGGGCTCAAATGATCCTCCTTCCTTCCTCCTCAGTCATTTGAGTAGGTGGTATCATAGGCTTTTGGATTGATTTTGATATGTTATAGGCTTGTATATCTGGTGTGTTAGCTACTGGGTACAAATACACACCTAGAAACTAGGCTTGGCGGCATGTTTGTATAATCCCAGCACTGAGTACTCAGGAAGCTAAAACAGGAGAATTACCTGTTTGTGGCTAGCCTAGGCTATATACATGGCAAAACCCTGTCTTAGGATAATGATAGTAATGATAAACACTAATCATTAATGATAAGCACTTATGATCTGATGTTAAAATACTGAATTCTCTGTTAGGTATTATATACAAAAAGAATGTAAACTTATTGTTCTAGTGAACCTGTTATAACCCTCACCTATTGCATTTTCAATGCTGTAATTTTGTAATTTTCAATGCTGTGGTATAAATACTGTCATTTTAGCTCCTACCATGATAGTTTGGAAAGTAGAGTTGAGGACATACATATTTGATACTTGCAAGCACTCACTCACAGGTTCCATGGTATGGTGTGCGTGTTATAAAGAACAATAGTAAAAACCTACAGATCTGCTACTTCATTAAGAAGAACAGTACCAATGTTACTGTGACTTTGCTCTTTCCTTTTACCAAATTATTTAGATTTCTGTGTTTGATATAATAGCAGACATTTA